ATTCAAATATTGTGGTCCTAAATTTTTAGAATTATTTTTTAAGGTTATTGTTTTTCTTTTGATCGTTTCGAGTATTTCTTTTAATACACTTAGAGTGTTCGTATTATCGAAATAATAATTTTTAACTACACGCATAGATTTTCAAGAAAACACGTGCCAAATTTGTATTATAAAATTGTAAATAATATTAGTTTAACGGATCTTGTTCGTTTTGATATTTTATTGTTACATTGAAAAAATTATACAATATTTCGATTTCTTAATTAATTTTTCGTAAAGAGTATTTTCTTTCTAAATTATTTCAAAATTTTTATTGTTTCTTTTTTAATAAAATGAGCGTACACATGTATAAACAAGAAAAACAATTTAAATGAAACGGGTGAATTTTCCACGACAACATCTGCAAAATATTTCTTGAAAAAATTTTTAGTAATAACAATCGATCTTTTCTTGTCTAGTTAATTTATTGTAACGATTAATAATATTAAGGAGTTTCAATTTATTAATTGTTAGAAAAATAACTTTTTTCTCGATCTCTCTTTCTCTCTCTCTCTCTCTCTCTCTCTCATTTCGAGTTTATTTTAATAAAGCTAACGTATATACAATATATTAACGTAGATGGTTACCTCGTTGGTCTTTTTTAATCTCGTCTTTACTCCCTATCCACCTGAATCTCCACACGAAGGGGAAACAAAGAGAGTGAAAGAAAGAAGGGTGCGAGGAGGGTGTGGAGGGGACGGGGAAGGGATGCTTGCCTAGCTCCGACATTATTTTTTTCGTATATTAATAGTTGAGGATCGATTAATTGATTTCTGATGTAAATAAATAAAAACCTAAGAAAATATAGAAGACTTGTGCGTGTGATACTTAAAAAAAGAATAGAATACAATAAGTAACTTGGGGAAAATGATTAAAGTTTTTAATTAAACGACAGACACAACTAATTAACATACAATTTTAGTGAAATATAATACACGAAAACGGAGAGAATTATTGAACGAAATTGGGATGGTCTATTATCTTATTGTACGGTTCCATCTTATCGACAAGTATTATACTATACAGAATAAACTGTTCGTAATAATATTAAAACAATTCCATTCATAAGTATCGTTCGTTGTAATTTTGTCTAATTCTACAAAACTGTTTATCGATAATATCGCGTTTTTATTTTTTTTTAATTTGTTATCAATTAATTTATTTTATTAAACAAAGCATCTAATGGGATCATCTATAAAGTTTCATTTAATCCTGAGTAGAAACGAAATAATGAGCGATAAAAAAGTTATGAATAATAAAAAAAAAGTGTTAAGAGAAGTGTTAAGAAGAAGAGTGCGCATACAGTATGTTTCAATTGACTGTGTGTGTGTGTGTATATATATATTTGTATGTATCTGAGAGGGCGAAGCGAGATAAAAAAAAAGAAAAAAAGAAAATAGTGTAGTTTAAATTAAATATTAAAAATTAAACTCGAAATAATGCAAATGTTGGTAATACAATAAAGAAATAGAAAATTGTAACAAAGTTTTTAAAACAATGGTATAATATCAGTTTATCGCTAATGGCATATAATAATAATTGTTGTAAAATATATAAATATTAATAAAAATTAATATAAATATTAATGGTTTAATAAACATAAAAAGTGATCAGCCTTCTAACGTGGAATTTAATTTATTTTAATATTAAAAAAAGAAACAAAAAATAATGAAAAAAAAAGTACCATTACTTAAATTCAGAAATAAATACAAAAAATGCAATAATTATGATCATTGTAATATAGTCTTCTAAGCAATGATATAATATTAATAACATATAATAATAATTAATATTAATGATTAAATAAACATTAAAAATGATCAGTTTTTTAACATGAAATAACTAAAGGTAGTTAGTATCGCGTATTCAGAAACATTCTCGCCGATTTTCCGAGCGCGTCTCGAGAGTAAGAGAAGAACTCCTACTATTTATAAATTAGTTTGAACCCGGTCGCATTGGCGATCCTCGTCGTGTTGCGCGGCGCGTTCTGGTGCGGTTCAAGCAAACGGGCTAAGCCTTCGGTCCCGAGCTGCTCGTGCTGCCTCGTGGAACCTCGCGTGGGGAACAATTCGCCACCCCATGATAAAAATAGAAGCTCCTAGCCAGCTAGTCCAAGCTCCGACCTAGGAAAGAGAGGAAAGGAAAAGAGAGAGAGAAAGAGAGAGAGAGAGAGAGGGAAAACTAGTGAATGCGAGTACGACTAAGTGTTCGAGTAAAAGAGAAAGAGAAAACTATACTGAATACGAGTATAATTGTATTAGTAGAATAGAGAAAGAAAAACAACGATATTCAAAAACGGATAAAGATAAATAATAAAGTAATAATACAAAAGCTACGGATATAGATAGAACAATGAATATATGATTAAAAGAATTATAGAATTAATAATAATAATAATAATAATAATAATAATAATAATAATAATAATAATAATAATAATAATGAAAAACCAGAAGATATTTAAAAGAGGATAAAATAAAGTAAATAATAAATAAATAATACACACAAAATTTAAAGATATTGATAGAACAATGAATATATGATTAAAATAATTATAAAAATAATAATAATAATGAAAAACTAGAAAAGAAATCGAATAAATAATGATACTCAGAATAAAAAAGATAGTGTGTAGAATATGGGTATAGTTAAAAATCGATAGATCGGAAAAAACGTTTGGTAAGATCCAACATAAACGACGTTGACGATGAAACGAAGACGACGCACCGGTGTGGCGCACCGGTGGTAGCCAATGCTGCTGCTGCTGCTGCTACTGGCACGTTTCGGTGCCGTCTTTTTCTATCCCTCTCTCTCGCTCTCTCTCTCTCTATTTCTTTCTCTTTCAGCCGAGAGCTTTCAGTTCTTCGTCATCCGTCGTCTTAGACGCGAAGAAAGTGCGTGTCCCGTTTCTTTGGCGAAGCACACGCGAAAAAATTAGTAATATACCTCGCCCTTAAGTTCTGTCTTACATTAATTCGTCATTAACGCCGGCGTTAAACAATTTACGTACCTGCCTGTCGCTTCAAATTTACATTCCCAAATGTAGAATGGTTTTGAAAAGAAAATAGAAATGATTGATTAAATTAGGGTGGGAATAGTTAAATTAATGATTTATATCAATTGGAGTTTTCTTTTAAAAAAGGCTTTTGAAGGTGGTTTTATCTTTTCCTTTTTCTTTTATAATTAGTGTTGGTGTTTCTAATGAAGATTATGTGAACCATTTTGATAAAG